GTCACATCCCATAATTCAGGGGACAACCACGCTGTCTCTCCGTTACTTAAGGACTTCTTCCAGCCACGAAGAAGGGGTTCAGGCCCAATTCAACTTTTCTTCCAAGTCAAGAAGAAGAGACTCAACTGTTCTAGCTATCGAGCAATCCGTTCATAGTTAGATCAGCTGATTGAACCATAAGCTCTCTGCATAATCTTTGCATTGCAGCGCCACTGCCTAGTTCCGAGCTCCGATCGCCGGCGAACTAAGCAGACTCGAACTCTATTGCCCCGAGCTTCTACTGCGTACTGAAGCTCCCCAGCAACCTTGTTCAAACGGTCCAAGGGAAGCAAACTCGACACGAGCATCGAGCGAAGCGTTCTATAGCCACCTAAAGATCTCGCACAAATGAAGAGGGCCTTCCCTCTGCTTCTGTTGTAAACATTTGATTTGTTAGTTTGTAATAAGCTTTCTTATAAATACAAACGAAGCTCCCTTTTCCGGGAAATCAAATTTTCACCCTACAGTCCCACATAGACTAGTGTAAAAAAATGTTAGTGGCTTAAATAAAAAAGCACAAGGCCCAAGAACAACTAGTGTTAGTATTTTAATAGTGGACTTTAGCCAACATCGAGTGGGTTTCGGTGTGTCCCATGGGTTGCACGCGCCAACGGACCCTTGGGCCCGAGTTGTGACAAATGATATTATAGCAGTTGCCAGCCGGAAGTGTGGAGCTAAGTGCTATACGGGACTAAGTACTACATCGCAAGGATGCGGTGGGAGCTACCTCTAGAGCCCGTAGAAGCTACCTATAGACTCCACATCGCTTGTCAGTGACACTAGGATGTCTCAATTGTCATGTCGTGACAATGAGGATGTCGTCTTTGTAAGGTGGGATGATTGTGACACTCTCACACTTTAGTCCCACATAGACTAGTGTGAAAAAATGTTAGTGACTTAAATAAAAAAAGCCCAAAACCCAAGAACAACTAGTACTATCATTTTAACAATGGAATTTAGCTAGCATCGAGTTGTTCTCGGTGGGTCACATGGCTTGCACGCGCCAACTAACCCGTGGACCTGTGGCGTGAAAAATACACTTTAGTCCCACATTATTAGTGTGAAAAAATATTAGTGATTTAAATAGAGAAAAACCCAAGGTTTAAGAACAACTAGTGCTAGCATTTTAGCAAAGTGGATTTAACCAACGCTCGAGTTGCTCTCGTTGGGACACACGACTTGCATGCGCCAACGGGCCTGTAGGTTCGCAGCGTAACAAATGATATCAAAGCAGTTGTCAGCTGAAAGTGTGGGGCTAAATGCTATACGAGACTAAGTGCTACATCGCGTGGATGCAATGGGAGCCACCTCTAAAGCCCATAAGAGCTAACTCTAGTGTCTACATCACCTGACAGTGACACTAGGATATGCCAATTCACATGTTGTGACGAGGAGAACGTCGTCTTTGTAAGGTGGGATGATTGTGACACCCCCAAACTTTAGTCCCACATTGCCTAATGTAAAAAAATGTTAGTGGCTTAAATAGAGAAAAGATCAAAACCTAAGAATAACTAGTGCTAGCACTTTGACAAAGTGGATTTAGCTAATGCTCGACTTGCTCTCGGTGGGTCCTACGACTTGCACACACCAATGACTTACTCACGCCAATGGGCCTGTGGGTTCAGGACGTGACAAATGGTATCAGAGCAACTGCCAGCCAGAAGTGTGGAGCTAAGTGCTATACGGGGCTAAGTGTTACACCGCATGAATGCAGTAGAAGCTACCTCTAGAGCCCGTAGGAGCCACTCTAGAGTCCACATCACCTGACAGTGATACTGAGATGTGCCAATTGTCATGTCATGATGACGTGGACGTCGTCTCTGTAACGTGGGGTAGTTGTGACACCCCACACTTTAGTCTTATATGGACTAGTGTGAAGAAATGTTAATGGCTTAAATAGAGAAAAGCCCAAGGCTCAATTAGCAACTAGTGCTAGCATTTTGACAGTGTATTTTAGCCAAAATCAAGTTGCTCTAGGTGGGTCCCATGGCTTGCACGCGCCAACACGTGGTGGGAGCCACCTCTAGAGCCCGTAAGATCCACTTATAAAGTCCACATCGCATGGCAGTGACACTGAGATGTGCCAATTGTCATGTCGTGACGACGATGACGTTGTCTTTGTAAGGTGGGATGATTGTGACACCCCCGCATTTTAGTCCCACATAGACCAGTATGAAAAAATGTTAGTTACTTAAATAGAGAAAAATCCAATGCCCAAAAATAACTAGTGCTAGTATTTTGACAAAGTGGTTAGCTAACATTCGAGTTGATCTCCGTGGGACCCACGGAACAGGCCTGTGGGCTCGTGGCATGAAAAATAGTATCAGAGTAGTTGCCAGTCGGAAATGTGGAGCTAAGTGCTACATCGCGTGAATGCCGTGTGAGCCACCTCTAGAGCCCGTAGGAGCTACCTCTAGTGTCCACATCGCCTGGCAGTGATACTGGGATGTGTCAATTGTCATGTCATGACGACGAGGATGTCGCCCTTGTAAGATGGGACAATTTTGATACCTCCACACTTTAGTCCCACATAGACTAGTGTGAAGAAATGTTAGTGGTTTAAATAGAGAAAAACTCAATGCACAAGAACAACTAGTGCTAGCATTTTGACAAAGTGGTTAGCTAACATTCGAATTGCTCTCCGTAGGACCCACGGCTTGTAGGCGTCAAAGGGCCCGTGGGCCCGAGGCATGACAAATGGTATTAGAGCAGCTACCAGCCAGAAGTGTGGAGTTAAGTGCTACATAGGGCTAAGTGTTACACCGCGTTGATACGGTGTAAGCCACCTCTAGAGCCCGTAGGAGCCACCTCTAGAGTCCATATCGCCTGGCAGTGACACTAGGATGTGCCAATTATCATGTCGTGACGACGTGGATGTCGTATTTGTAAGGTGGGGTGATTGTGACACCCCCACACTTTAGTCCCACATGGACTAGTGTGAATAAATGTTAATGATTTAAATAGAGAAAAACTCAAAGCCAAAGAACAACTAGTGCTAGCATTTTGACGGTAGATTTTAGCCAACATCGAGTTGCTCTCGGTGGGTCCCACGGCTTGCACGCGCAAACGGGTCGTGGACCCGGGGCGTGACAATTTTACCCCTCAAGTTAATTGTTAGAGCATCTAAATGGAATATTTTGTCCGACCAATGAAAACTTTTCAAAAATGACTAAAGTAACCTTTTAAAAACTTTTCAAAAATAATTAAGAATAATAATTACACTTTTTAGTTTTCTCTTCTTCTGTTCTTGGTTCTCTCTGTTCTTGTCCCAATCTAAAACTCGAGCCATTTAATTACATTCTTCCCACCCAGCCAATGGAAGATGTCTCACATTCTACTTTGTTCCACCTCAAAGTTTCAGATGGATACAATTCTTTGCAAATGAAAATTGTCACACTATCACAGTTGTGATGAGTGAAGTTTGCTTAATCATCAGTTGAGGATCAAAGTGATCTGATCGAATTTGGGCCCGATTTTAATAAGGCATCATTGAGTTATGGAAACGAGCAGGAGCTTTACAAGCAACGATGGAAGATGATCATTCTTGGACGTTGGGTTTGGGTGAGGAACTGAAAAAAAATAAGAAAACGGCCAATTATCTTAGTGCTTTAGGATTTCTGGAGCTGAATATTTTAATCCTTAAATTAAATAAAGGTACAAAAGTTAATTGGATCCTAATTAACACTGTTAAAATTCTAGCTGTGGTTGGATGAGGGGTAATATTGAGAGAAGATAATGATTTGAGCGGTATATTTAAAATGATAAAGATGTGAAGGGCAAATCTAATATACTGATAATTTGAGGGGTACATTTGGAGAAATAAATCCTTTTTTCACTAGGCTAAATATCATAAATCCCCCAAACTTTGGATGATTATAAAAAAATCCCTTAACTTTTTTAAGCTTGTCTAAATTTCAGGGAACCCCGCGCCCCCCCTCCCCCACCCCCACCCCCACCTTAAATGTTAGGGGGGTTATTAGAAAACCCCTTCAACGTATCAAAACACCCCTAAGTTAGGGGGATTTTCTGATAAAATATCGAAGTTAAAGGGGGTTTCCTGATAATTTTTGAAAGTTAGAGGGGGTTTTGTGATAATCCCTATTCTTAAGAGGGTTTTCTGATATTTTAAAAGTTAATGGGGGTTTTCCAATAATAATCGTCCAAAGTTAAGGATGTTTTCTGATATTTACCCCTTTTCACAAACATGGAGGGATATATATAGAGTTCGGATATGGAATCCGGATCCTCTCCTAGAAAATATTATCCATAGGATTAAGGATGGGAATATTTTATATGGCTAGGATTTTAACGGGTTGTAAATTATAAAGAATCCAAAACCTCGATCAAACTTTTCAAATTACCAATCAAACTTTTGACTGTGCTTTGTTAACTCATGTTACTTTGAGCCGCTGTAATCTCTGAATTCTGATGGGTTTCTGAAGTTCTGGTTGTTTCCAATTCCTATGTTCTCAATCATTCGACGAGTACATGCTCACCTGATTCTAATGGTTTATTTATTCGTGAATGCTCGAGACTAAACTCTATAGATAAGATGGTTTCTTCATGCATATTGTAGCGCATACATTAGTTTTTTTTTTTTGCCCCGTTGTATTGATCATTGATATCTTCTCTAACAAGATTAGCCCTCCCTCTGTATTTTATTGGGTGTATCATACCTAAGTACCAATAAAATAAAATACAAAATGAGCAAAGCACGCAGAAAATTAAGTTACTTCCAAGAAAAAAATAAAGAACGTATAGAAAAAGACCCGGTCCACGTAAATGACTCTTTTAATTTATGCTGACATTTCTTCCATCCTGTCTTCTGCAGTCAATCTTCCGGTGGAAGGAAAACAAATAATTAAACACCTTCTTGTGGAAGATTTCCCCCGAAAAAAGTCATTATAAATAGATAACCAGCCTTTCTACAAAATTCACCACCTTAATTCATTGGCTAAGCAATGGCAGGAAATAAGTTGCCCGGTTCAATCCTTGAACCCTTCCAATCTCTCTCACTTTCTTCCACAACCGTTGAATTTGGCAAAGATTTTGCAGGCAACAAAACTCCTGAAGAAATTGCGGAAGCTGTCGGCCAATTCCTTCATCTCCATACTGGCTACAAGATAGATAAGTTTCATCTCTACTTCTGCCCATCCGAAAAATTCCTGCCGGAGATCGAAAACTGGGTAGCATACGTCATAGGAAAGGGAGTAGAAAATCTAAATCTAGACTTCTCCATGGAATTTGATAGCCGACAAGGAGAAGAATACATTCTGAGCTTTCCGAAGAGTCTGATCAATTTGAGTTTGAGTGACTCAGGTTTCAGCACCCTTCGGTCTCTCTCCCTTTCGTACGTAAATCTTACAGGTAACAAACTCCAGCAGTTGATATCCAATTGCCCCCTCCTTGATGCACTGAGCATTATAAATTGCTCATCTGAAGATAGCGTCACAATATCATCACAGAGGCTTCAGAAGTTCACATTCGTGAATTCAAATTGGGAGATATTGGGTATCAATATTTCAACCCCAAATCTTGAATCTTTTATATACCACGGTATACACATTTTTGGAGAAGAAGAATTTGATCCCGAAGAATGCTTCGTCGACATTTCATCGCTCTCTGATGCCTTCATTTCTGCTGTGGACTCGTCAGAGCCTGAACATGACTTCATAAAGCTGGTATATGATCTCAGGCATGTCAAGGTTCTTACTGTGTGCACGTATACTCTATGGGTACGCTTCTTGCAAATTTGTTTATTTCGGAGAATTGCTGAGTACTATAATTTTTTGGGGTTATGTTAATTATCTAGTTCTACATTTGCTTTCTAACAGAGGGTAACAATATACGAGGACGAAAAATTACCAATTTTACTGCAAAATCTGAAGGAACTACAGCTGCTTATGTGCACTATGACCATGGAGGATCTTGATTGCATCTACAATTTCTTTCGGCTTTGTCCTTCACCATTCCTTGAGAAACTATTCATTCATGTAGGCTTTTGATATTCAGCATTAACTTTGTCCATATTAGTTTCTAGCTTCTTGTTGTACGCAAATAAATTAACCAACTTCCAAAAGGCTGACTTGGTAAATATTTGCAGATCCCTGATTTTGCTCAGGATATGCTAGAAGAACCCTATGTTAAACAGGAGATTAGAGATCCCTTTGAAGTTAATTTAAACCATCTCAAGGTGGTCAAGATGAGCAATTTTAAAGGTCGCGACGCTGAAATGAGATTAGTGAAGTTTCTCCTCCAAAAGGTGTATACTTTAGAGTTCTTGGTATTGGTTGGACCTAAATCTGCAAACAAAAGTTTGGATGCTGAACCTAGTAGCTCAGTACAAGAAAGTGCACATAAAAGGATAAATGATATGTGCGCGCAACTGTCCTCATTACCAAAGGCATCTTCACAAGCCAGAGTTCTGATATGTGAACATTCTGAAGATGATATGTCTTTGACGCCGACACATACCAGATATTTTGAAGAGTATTAACAAGGCATTACTCTGCCATGACATGTTTACTCGATAATTAAGAGTTGTATCACGTGTGTGTCCTGTATTCTTATTTTGTGGTTGATGTAACTGAATGTTATTCAAATTTATTAGAAAATCTGGTCTATGTGTGAAGTCACAGAGATAATCAGTACATCTTGCGAATTTGGTGTCCCTTTTCAATTGATTGTATTTCAAATAATGACCGTAACATGCTATCAATGTAAATATAGAAATAAGTTTTGAGGGAAGATGTTTCAGCAGAGCTGCAAGTGCATGCTAATCTGGTCAATTTAGAAGCATGATAATCCTTATTCATTGCAGCGTGCCTGAGAAAGACTATAGCATAAAACCCAAACTCAGGGGTTCTACAAAAATGCACATTTCTTAACAAAATGTTCTTGTCATACTCTGGTACTCAGCAAAAATACACATTTCTTAACAAAATGTTCTTGTCATACTCTGGTACTCAGCAAGGGCAAAAAATGCAATCACAAATATCTATGCAGATATAAATATTTTGAAGTCAAGAAATATAAGCATATATTGATATAACAGTGATCATAATCATCATGAACTAATCGAATTGCTACTTCTCTGTCCTACAAAATAAAATTATTTTTCAATTAGTTTAACTTGAACTTGGTTAGGTGGTGTAAACTTAATTTCAGAAAATTAAATTAGCAAGAAAATTTTCTGGTAATTCTGTGAACACGTGAGTGGGTGCCCACCATACCATATTTGTGAACGAGGAACGCGTCAGTTTCGTGGAAGCAAACCGCATGAAGCACAGGCCCACGAAAAGCCCACGAACCTTAATCCCACAGCTATATATATATCTCTTCAATCCGGTGCTAGGTTTTTGTGCAAGGAGTTTTTTTTTTTTGATTGGCGGCTGCAAGGTGTATTGCAGGGGTTCGTGAGCAAAGGACAGCGTGCAAGTAGAGGGCTTGGCGGCTGTGTTTGGAGAAAAATTACAGCGACTTTTGTTAGGCGTTTGTGCATCCTTTTGAGAGAGATATTTGTGTGAGAGGTTTGAGAGTTTGTGTGAGGGTTTAGATTGAGTGATTGTAAACCCAAGTTGTATTCTCTCACTCTAATTGTAGATCTCCCCTCTCCTTACCCCGTGGACGTAGGCAATTTACCGAACCACGTAATAGAGGGAGATCAAAGTCAAGAAGCCGCCACCAATTAGCAAAGAACCAATGTGTATTCTGTAAGGAGCAGGGACATTGGAAGAGAGACTGCCCGAAGCTCAAGGAGAAAGAGAATGGCAAGAAAAAGGGCCCAAATGCCAAGAGGTGAATATTGCGAAAGACGATGATTCCGATGATTCGTGCTTTTCTCTACTGATTACTCCGGAGGTGAACCATGTGGATGCATCAGATTGGATGCTTGATTCCGACGCTACTTATCATATGACCCCTAGGCGAGACTGGTTTGCATCTTTTAAGAAAGTCGACGGGGGTGTTGTTATCATGGGAAATGATCAATCCTGTGACGTTTGTGGGATAAGTATCGTGCGGATTAGGATTCATGATGGAGTAGTCCGTGAGTTGAAGGAGGTGAGATTTGTTCCTCAACTAAAGAAAAATCTTATCTCAGTTGGAGCTTTGGAGGCGAAGGGATTCAAGGTGACTTTCGAAAACGCTGTAGCGAATGTTACTAAGGGATCATTGGTGGTGATGAAGGGAGTCCGTAATCGGAATTTGTATTATCTGAAGGGAAGCACCGAGATTGGCTAGGGTACTTCGGCTATTTCAGAAGCGGACATGAGCAGACTTTGGCACTATAGGTTAGGACACACATGTGAAAAATCACAGCAGACATTGTGCAAACAGGGACTATTAAAGGGAGCCAAGAGTGGGAAGATTGAGTTCTGTGAGCACTGTGTTCTTGACAAGAAGACGAATGTGAAGTTCGGGACTGTCATTCATCAGACGAGGGGCATCCTGGACTACATGCACACAGACGTTTGGGGTCCCACCAAGACTACATCACTTGGTGGTCGATATTGGTTCGCCACGTGTAGGCTGTCTAAAAATCACTACAGATAGCTTATCCCCATCAAACACCGATGATAGAAGTTACAATCTGATGACTTCCAGAAGACTACAATTTGAAGACTTTCACGTAGAAGGTTACAATCTGACGACCTTCACAACAACTAATGAAAGCTCTAATTCAACAGCCTTCACAATCAACATCGGGAGTTATAATCTGATGACTCTCATGTTTACAAGGAGCCAAGACGAAGGTTACAAGGTGACGATCTTTGCAACGCTCTAGCGAAAGAAACTACAAATTGACGGTCTCTTCATATTAAAACGCAGATATCTCTCAAACCGTAAGGAATTTGGTAAAACTGACAGAGCAAACCGAACCCGATAGGGTTGGTTTGGTTGGCTCCGTCTTGTCGAGATAGCCGATTTTCATATATAATTCGTCCCATTCCGACTTACGGTTTGAAAGTTATGACCTATTCTTCGCAGCAAGTTATGTTCTGAAGTCCGTCTGTGAGACTGCACTTCGCCTGAACATTGGACTTAGCATAAAGTTCGTCGAGCCCACCTAAGGCTCACCTCTGCTTCCAAGATTCAAAACGCAGAGGTCATGCCCGCGTTCTAAACTCAAAACGCAGAGGTCGTGACCTCATTTGAGATTCAAAACGCAGAGGTCGTGGCTGCGTTCCAGATTCAAAACGCAGAGGCCGTGACTGCTTTCCAGATTCAAAACACAGAGGTCGTGGCTGCGTTCCAGATTCAAAACGCAGAGGTCGTGGCTGCGTTCCAGACTCGAAACGCAGAGGCCGTGGCTGCGTTCCAGAGTCCAAATGCAGAGTTCGTGGACTCAAAGCGCAGAGTCCATGCAGAACCCACCTCTGTGTTTCCCAAACACAAAACGCACACGGACTGTGCGTTCTCCAGCAGACATTCAACTCTGCAACGCAGAGTTAAAACACGAAACGCACACAGACTGTGCGTTCTTCAAATACTCAATCCTGCGTCTCAAACTCAAGACGCAGAGTGGGGATTCAGCATACAAGCGGCCTGTGCGTCCCTAATTTCCAGAACGCATGCGGCTTCTGCGTTTCAAATCTCTAGCAGAGATTTAACTCTGCGCCTCAAGCTTTAGGCGCAGAGTTAAGGCCCAGAACGCCAAGTTAGGCATTTCACTTGTTCAAACACAAGTTGAACGGCTTGACAACCGTTTATCCCACGATTTGAGGGATTTCCACCCCACTTAGGAGCAGATTAAGGGGATAGTTACTACCCTTAATCCCCTATAAATACCAGAAACTCAATTGAGTTAAGGGATCGGCTTTTTGCATCAAAAACAGATCGCAAAAGGAGAGATCGACAACCTCTTGAGTAGATCATCTTCGGATCTTGGGGATTTCTCGGATCTGGAGATCGGAAAAGGGGGGTCTTCGTTCAATCTCTGGAGCATTCCTTGGAGCTTTCATCCCTGGCTTATTAACCAATTTTCGGTTCAAATCAACTCTGTTACAGAGTTTAAACTCGTTCTGAGTTTCTAAACTCGATCTGAGTTATCAACTCGTCCAGAGTTTCAAACTTGCTTTGCAAGTTCTCCACAGCGTCAAATCGTGAGGAGGAGATATCTTTCCAGTGAATCAAGACGTGCGGATCGTCAACGGAGAGCAAACTCGACGCGAGCATTCGAGGGAGGCACTCCATCGCCACCGTGAAGAACCCAGAATTAAACAAAGGGGAGAATCCGGATTATTCTCCTCTATTTTGTAATCAGGAAATCCAATTGTAATCGAGATTGAGAGAGTTGTAATCATTCTTTTTCTAAGCAGTTAGAGAGAATAAATCAAATACGATTCTTTCATTATTTTTCTTGTTACTACAAATTTTCCAACAAACACCACGTTTGTTGATGACTATTCTAGATGTTGTTAGGTATACACCATGAAGCATAAGAATGAAGTCCTAGATTTGTTTGTGGAGTGGAATAAGAGATTAGAGCTGCAGACTGAGAGAAAGATCAAGACGTTGCGATCCGACAACGATGGTGAGTATACTTCTGACCCCTTTCAGCAGCTATGTCGAGACGAGGGCATAGAGAGACACTTCACAATTAGTCATACACCACAGCAAAATAGAGTAGCGGAGAGGTTGAATCGGTCTTTACTGGAGAAGATCCGATGTTTATTGTCGCAGAGTGGTTTGGAGAAGATTTTTTGGGCTGAGGCACTTACATATGCGAGCCATCTCATTAATAGGTTGCCTTCATCTGCGATTGAGAGGAAGACCCCTATGGAGATGTGGTCGGAAGAATTCGGGTGCCCTGCGTTTTATCATGTGAGAACTGATAAGTTGGAACCTCGAGCTAGAAAGGTCATATTTGTAGGATTCAAACGTGGTGTCAAGGGATACAAGCTTTGGGATCCAGTTGATAAGAAGATTGTGCTGAGTAGGGACGTCACGTTTGATGAGGCTTCTATCTTGAAGCTTCCCAGCTCTCATCAGGTGGAGAGCGACCCGACGGAGGAGATATCGCAGGTGGTGGAGATCGATGCAGCTTTACATTATTCAGATGGTACAGTATCTATTAGAGTGCCGACTGAGATGATGCCAGGCGAGCACGACGATGACACGGAGGATACGGGTACTGATGTGCAGGATCAGGGACCGACGGCTCAGGTTCAGGATTCGATTGCGGTTCGAAGACAGAGGAGAAACATACAGATGCCAGTACGGTATGCCGACACAGTTATGTATGCACTTCCGGTGGAGAGTATCGATGAGTTGGTGCCTATCACATTCAGAGAGGCCGAGCAGAGTTCGGAGGCTGATTTGTGGCAGGTGGCTATGCAGGAGGAGATGGAATCTCTTCATAAGAACGATACATGGGAGCTTGTTGAGCTTCCAAAGGGGCGGAAGGCAATTGGTTGTAAGTGGATATACACGAAGAATGAGGGCATTGAGGGCACTCCGTTGAGGTTCAAAGCTAGGTTGGTTGCGAAGGGCTATACGCAGGAGGAATGTATTGACTATAATGAGGTTTTCTCTCCGGTGGTGAAGCATTCTTCGATTTGGATTTTGCTAGCTTTGGTGGCACAGTATGATTTAGAGTTAGATCAGTTGGATGTAAAGACAGTATTTCTTCATGGTGATCTTGATGAAGAAATATATATGACTCAGCCATTGGGATTCCGAGCTGCAAGGAAAGAAAAATTGGTTTACAGATTGAAGAAATCGTTATACGGTTTGAAGCAGTCTCCTCGACAATTGTATAGGCGATTTGATGGTTTTATGATTGGTCATTCGTACACTCGGAGCCAGTTTGATCCTTGCGTATATTTTCGTAAGTTGAAAGGAGGTGCATACATTTATTTGTTGCTTTATATCGATGACATGTTGGTTGCCTCTACTTCCATGTCGGCTATAGATGAGTTAAAAGTTCAGCTTTCAAATGAGTTTGAGATGAAGGACTTAGGCGAGGCGAAGCGCATTCTAGGGATGGAGATCGGCAGAGATAAGAAGAATGGCAGAATTTGTTTGACACAGGTAGCTTATTTGAAGAAGGTTCTACAGCGATTTCATGTTAGCATGGATACGAAGTCAGTTGATGTACCTTTGGGAGCCCATTTGAAGTTTTCAGCTGGTCTTTCACCAAAGTCAGTTAAAGATCGAGAGTTGATGTCGAAGACTCCATATGCGAGCGCGGTTGGGAGCTTGATTACGCGATGGTATGTACGAGGCCGGATTTGTCACAGGCGGTGAGCATGGTTTCGAGATACATGCACGATCCAGGAGTGGGTCATTGGGACGTCGTGAGATGGATTTTAAGGTACATTCGAGGTACGCTCAATGTTGGTTTAGTTTATGAGTGGGACACTACAGGTGGACAGTTATGCATTGGCTATGTTGATTCGGATTATGCCGGGGATTTGGATAAGCGCCGGTCTACGACGGGGTATGTGTTCACTTTGACTCGTGCACCGGTGTGTTAGAGATGCACCTTACCGTCGACGGTGGCTTTGTCTACGATGGATGCAGAGTATATGACAGTTACGGAGACTGTGAAGGAGGTCATTTGGCTTCGAGGACTTTTGAAGAAACTTGGTATATCGCAGCGGTCCGTCACTATTCATTATGATAGCATGAGTGCTATCTATTTGGCGAAGAATCAGGTTTTTCATGCGAGGACGAAGCACATTGACGTCCGTTATCACTTCGTTCGGGATGTTCTTGAAGATGGCGATGTGGAGATTGTGAAAGTCCACACAAAGGATAATCCGGCGGATATGCTCACAAAGGTGGTTCCGAGCAACAAGTTTGATCATTATCGAGACTTGTTGCACATTCGTGATTGTTGAGGCTGTTGGCGGCCATTTGGGTGAACTACGTTCAGCTTGATTCCTTGGGCAAGAGGATACGTAGGCAGTCATGTTTGATGCAGCCGGTTTGGATTAGTTGATGGGGGTGAGATTGTTTGAACCCACGTTCGGATTCTCGACTTGTTGTGGATTGCGTTCGTACTGGACACAACAAGTGGGACATTTGTATGCTTTGGTGTCGGCTCAGTTTTGAAAAAACTTCACCGATGTGAAGAAATTCCTAATTTTGTATCTTCACAGTAAGTCATGTCCTCGTTAACACATCCTAAAGAACAGTAGACGGCTGTACATTTTGGGAAAATTTTTTTGAACAAAACAGTATGAAGTTTCAAAGCTTCATAATTTTGAAGTATTATGAGGGAGAGTATTTTTCACATCTTTTCAAATGGTGCAAGATTTCCCATCTTTTCAAGAAAATTTGGATATCAATTAATAAGAACATAAAATCAAAAGGCCTTTTTTTTAAGTCATGAGCTAATACATTATGGAAATAATGTGTATGAGGTGATGGCTCATCTTGCTAAAGAGCTACCATGTGATTAGATTCACCTTGCTAGTCACATCAAAAAGCATAGGACTCACCTCTCAATAGTTCATGTTACTAAATGAGCCGTCACTTCATAATCATTATTCCCACATATTATTTAACATGTGTCATTATGTCTATCTTATATTTTCAAAACCTTGTACTTTTAATAGACCAAGATCATGCGTGAAACTGAATCAATATAGGACACTCCACGCCAATCTTTCACTTGAATTCAAGTAAACCTGATCAGTTTATGTCACCTTGTTCCCTATAGAAAATTTTATCCCTTGTAAGGGGATTCTGATATAATTTATGGCTGCTCAATATTTTTCTGAGAAAAACATATGCATGCCAATTCCTTTGTTCATAGACAGTAATAAACCTCTTCCTTACTTCCTTACATGTACGTTTAAATAATCTCAAAAACCCTTCCAAAGCTGACATAGACTTTCACCGCTAAACGAGTCCATAATTAAGTTCCCTCTCTACGAATGAAGTGTAAAGTACTCCACAACAACTTTGTTTTGACTTAATATGCTCCTTCTCTTAGAAGGAGAACCTAAATTATTATTTTTTGATTTTAGCGGTGATAAAGGCTAGCAGTACAGAAAGTCTCCAGACAAGTCAATATTTTATCTTAAATCTTACTGGGGAAGAAAGGACAACAACAGCCTCTACAAAGTCATTGCTAAGTTGATAATAATGGTGGAATTTATATGAAAAAATAAATAAATCATGGGTATAGGTCTTGATAGAATTAGCAACCTGCCTGACTCCATCCTTGAGTTCATCCTCTCTCTTGTACCTCTTAAATCAGCAGTAAGGACTAGCATCCTTGCAAAGAGATGGAGAAATTTATGGCTATACAAATTATCTTCAACCTTTGTGCTGGATTTCGATGAGGAATTCTCGGGCAGTCAATCGCCGACTGAGTTTGTGACTGTTGTAGACCGTTATCTGCAACTCTGCAGCAACGATAAACTCGAAAGGCTTCGGATTTTCTTTTGCCCATTTGATAGGTTTGCACCCAATATTGAGAGGTGGGTCAAATTTGCAGAAACAAAGGGAGTTCAAGAGCTCGATCTTGATTTATCTCAAGGTCACAGAGATCCCCGTAATGGAGAATTCACTGACGAAAGAAAACCATTTAAGTTGCCAGCTTCACTGTTCGGTTGTGAATCATTAACCAATTTGAGTTTGAGCCGTTGTGATTTCTGCACACCATCAGAGTTCAAAAGATTGGGCTGTCTCAGGTTGCTAATTCTTAGTCATGTCAACATAAATGATGACATGCTTCAAAGTATTCTAACAGAATGTCCAATTCTTGAAAGCTTGAGCTTAAAAAACTGTAGCCAACTCAGGAACGTTCACGTATCAGGTGACGACCTTAGACTCGAGAGGTTTACTATGGTGGATTGTCTTAAAGTCTATTACCTGGAGATTTCTGCTCCGAAACTACAATCTTTGATTCTATTTGGGAATCTCAACTTTATGTTTAGATTCATTGATATCTCCTCCTTAGTAGATGCTTTCTTATCTTCAATTGGTAGAGAGACATATGGCAACTGCACAATGTTTCTACCTGACTTAGCTCATGTCAAGATCCTTTCCTTCGCTCTATCTGTAATATTCTGTCTTCAACTAATTTCTAAAGATGATTTGTTTTCATGACTTACATTTTTGCTTGGTTTTAACTTTCTTTTTGCGCCATGGTTCAGTATGTTGCAGAATTTGAGGAGCCCGAAGAAAACGAAGCAGAATTCACAATCCCATTACCAAACCTGCAAGAACTGCAGATGTTGGTAGATGTAATGAGTGAAGAAAACATCTCCCAAATCTATAGATTCTTTCATATATATCCATCTCCGTTCCTTGAGAAACTTTTAATTAGAGTAAGTCTTCATCTATATACTTTTGCCTTCTAAATTGTCCTTCATACTGAAACTACTGAACCTGCAGCTCCCCGGATACTTGGAAGATCCAACTGGCACAGAGTATATACCAACGGCATTGAACCAACCAACAAATGTCGTCTTCGACCATCTGAAGGAGATTAAACTGAGCAACTTCAGAGGATGCATATTAGAAATGCGACTGGTGAAGTTTCTTTTAGAGAAAGCAATTACATTAGAACGCTTGGTGCTTATTGCACCACCCATGGAGCTAAATGAAGGGATTAAGAGCGATCAGGTTGGTTTATCATTACAGTCTAAATTTAGTGAGAGGATCGGTTTGAGGATTATACGTGGGCAACTGTCCACACTACCCAAGGCCTCTTTAAATGTCAGCATCGTGGTGCAAGAATTTTTTGAAGACGATATGAGCTTAAATCCAGTACATAGGGAGGTTTATTGTGAGCAAAGCTTCTCCTCCATACAGAAAATGTTTGAGCCTTCTTTCGAAGAATTTGTTAGCGCACAATCAGAATTCCTCTGAATATGGTGCTTATATTATTTTTGACGTCGAATGTAAATTGAATGGAAGTTTCCAAGTTACAAGTATGTAATTACATTACATATCTGCACTTGTAGTATAATGAAATAACAAATCCAAAAACACAAAAAAGTTCTCTTGTACAGTAAGAGGAGGGGGAAAAAAAGGAGAGGACGATACAAAATATTTTCTGGATGAAAATACTTCAATTCAAAGCCTGAGCTTCTCACAGGTCACTCGAGTACCTTTTTTCCCCGTCTGCATGCACAATTTCCTGTCTCTCACCGTTTCCTTCTTGTCAGTGAAAACCTTCTTTTGCTTCAAATCTGTCATACTAAGATCTAATGTTGCATGCTCTAATAAATTTATCAGAGAAATCAACATACTTTGTCCATAGAGGCCGAAGCTGAGGAAATGCAAAGTCCAACCAAGGCTTAGCTCGTCCATTGAAATGAATCACTGCAGCTTTATCGGCATCCATCACTGTGGTGTTCTCTTGATACCCAAGGCCCAACATATGCCAGTAAGAATCAATGACATGAACATAGCCATGAAATGCTATCAAACCCGGTGGCAGGGTCCCTAACTGCCATAGACTCAAGTCTGATTTCAAGTTCTACAAGAAAGAACCACCGAATAAGCAGAGATTACATAAAAAATACTATTTATAGGAAAGGGAAAATTTCACAATTTGTTCCCTGAACAGTGGGGTGTTTAGCACAAAACTCCCTGAATTTGTAAATTAGAGAAGACCCTCCTGAAGTTGTTTCACTAAAAAAATCGACTGACGGCAATTAGTTTAAGCTGTCACGTGTTGTGCATGTGACATGTCTTGGACAATTATTCTCTATGTACTCAATATATCTGTTCTGGTAGGTAGATAGTGACGAGGGTGGTTTAGACCTTTCACTCTTCACGTAACCCCGTTTATGACCATCTTCAATAGTACAGGGGATTATGTGTAAACTGAAAGTTCTTTAGATTTTCTCTAATTTATAATCTTTTGGGGGTCTTGTGCAAAACACCCAAAGATGGGGAATTTTGTAAAATTCACCCAAAAAATCATTGAACATGCATACCTTCAAAACCCAACTGTGGTATGTGAGGCTGATGTTTGTCTTCCTCCATGCTTCAAGATCAAAGACGTTCATACCATAGGCCCAAGCACACTCATTCGGGTCAAAAGCTTCTGATATTAAAGGATGAGAGAAGTTGAGATAGCTCTTCAGTCTCTTTGACATAACAAACCTGTCTTCACCTCTGCATGTCTCAACTGCACCGTTCACCTTTCCTTGGAGATCAATATCCCATAAGGGTGACAGGTCCGCTTGAACAACAATGTCATCATCAAGAAAGACTATCTTTTTAAGGCTTGGAAACAACTGGAGCATGATATGAAACAGAAATTTGACAGTTTCAGTACTTCAAGCTAAAGGATAACTGATCCCAAAAAAAAAAAATGCTCTGAGATACTTGATATGCATATCAACTAATCTCAAATAAATGGCTAATCCTATATCTGCATATGAAGGTTTGATTTAGAAAAGATTTCAAATAGAATTAATTCACAATATAAGCTATTATTTTCAGAAATGTGCTGACATAATGTAGAAAAGTGGACGAAACTACTATAATGGACGCAACATAATGAAAATACCTCTTTCAATTTTCAGTTTCAAGGTTAAACAAATACCAACTACAATTTAAGAGGTTTCTTGTAATCTCCTCACCTCAGGAAGATGTATCCGGATATGATTCATTATTGAATTATACTTAGGACTCAACGCCTGTAACTTCGCTGCAACAACAACAGGCTTCTCACTGACATTAGCCACAATAGCAGATGACCCTCCACGAAACATAGACCTAGCCTCTCGATCTTTCTCCATAGCCTCCATCACTGGCACTCTCCCCTTAGTAAACCAATCAAAATGGTGCAAACCCCTAACCTCAACCACTGCAGGATCCAGCTTATGCAATGAAAACCAAGCTTGCATCGGTGCATAAGTCTTGCGATCAGTAATAATATGGAGGACCACAGTGTGAGGATGGAGAGAGTTCTGTACTAGAGATGAAGCTACAACCGAAGTGGCGAGGACATTGTCAGAGGCAATGACGAAGTGGTTTAGGGAGTTGTCAATGAGAGAAGGGATTTGATCAGGTGGTGGGAGGGGAAGGCGAGCAGCGGAATTGGTGGAGTGTTCATGGGCGAGGTGAAGAGTTAGGCAGTGGAGTTGTTTAGGGATGCTGCTTGATGCTACATGACGATAGAGGTATTCTTGGATTTTTGCTGTTCGGGTCTTTTGTTCAAGGGTGGATACCTGTAATGGAGACCGAAATTAGTAAAACTAAATAATTAATTTAATAAAAAAATTATTAACATGCTCTAACACCAAAACATATCAATTTGTAATGTTTATCTTTCAGTTTGAGTACCATAATTGAATATAGGAAAGAGGTGAAAATTTGTATATATACATCTCATTTGTTCAACGTATGCTTCCCTCAAGAATTCGGATTTTTAATGATCTAAAGTTGAATTTATGACCTTGGATTCTCACTTTGCTACATATGGTATTCGGCTAACATGGACCAAAATAGATGGTTGCTTCCAGAATGTGACATTTATTCTTTCTTGATAAAAAAAAATGATATACATGTAAAACTAATGAACTTCATGTTAGTAAACTGCATGCTTCCATCTTCTTTTAACAAATATTTTCTATCTCAATTTATAGCATGCTATTCATTTGTTATCATTTTGACATTAAACAGTTTTGTTGTCTTTCTTTCAGCAAACTTTGTCAAAAGACTTTTGAACATTTATTCTATTAAGCACCACAGTATTTCCTATCTGCTACTAAGAATTTTTTTTTTCAATAAACTTTGAGGCCACCATGCTCTTGTTATTTTAATAAGATAGTATGATTGAAATGAACACCTTAATTAACTACAATCATGAAAGATGCAAATTTGCTATGCAATTTCTATTCAGATAACACCGTTGTTTAAAGTTTTAAAAGAAAACATTACAAGAATTTCTCCTGTTTAAAGAAACAAAAAACAACACAACAATGTCATAGTTATGCCATGTATAAATGCCACAAATCAAAAGTGCACTAGGTCAAAAAATTAAGGACCCAAAAATGTGGTTAATTCAAATCATAGTTACTAGCATCTGATTTTAGCATATAGTATATTACCATCGCTTTCAGTCTCAAGGCAAAGGTTTTAGCATCTGATTTCTTGCCCTTCATCTCTGTGATGAACTCTTCTAGTGACAGCGGAGCATCTGATCCAACTTCTGATGCCTCCAAATCGCCTTCCTCTAGAAAACGATATATTTCATCAGGGACTTTCTGCAGAAGTGGTAAATTTAGTTTTTATCCGACAAAAAGACTGTTTCATTAAATTATATGCTAATATTTTCTTTTCTTCTTTATTGCAAAAGTGATAATAAGTGGGCTTCATACCGTGGACTCAAGCTTCCTTCCAAATATTCTGGGTCCAAGCCTTTTCCCCACACATCCTAAAAATCACAGAGAAAGTAACTAAAGCTTACTATTTGATGGAGTAATGTGTCTGAAATAAAAAGAGAAGTGTCTCCTCTAAAGAGGAAACATAATAATAATAAATAAATAAAGTATCCCTTACATTTCTTCACATTTTAAAGTATATAAACAAACCTGATGTAACATGTGAACCTTGATAAGCGTCTACTTCATGTTTTAAATAGACATTATGTTTTGAATAATTAATGACATAAGAATGGCACAGAAAATATCATAAAGTTCCAAGAGTCGATGAGCTTTTATTACTTTGTATATGCAACAGTCTCTTACATTCTGTTTATGGTTGAAACTTCTTCTCTAAGAATATTATACACTGATGATTTATCAAACTCTTGAATATATGATTTTTACCAATTTTTTTTTGCATATATGAGTATTTCCTCAACTTCAGCAGCACCTTCACTGTATCAACAAACTAGATATGCAACCAGCCAGATACCTCCCTAGCTTGGTGCTATTCTCATCTATGGTTATGGCCTCATACCTAGAGTTTAAATCACGAGTTATTAGTGCCGATCCGAGTTCATATCCTTTGCTTTTAGATCTTTACGGTCTGTGCATTTCTTTGAGAAATAAGGTGCAGTGCAGCTCCAAGACACCGACCCTTAGTCTTCCCTTCTTCCCTTTTCAACCTTTAATTACTTATGTTAATTCATCATTTGCAATCAAATAGCGCCAGAGGTTAGCAATCTACTTCATGATTTCCTCATCAAGACCATTCATGAAGTTCATAGAGGTTGTAGCAGAGACTCAAACTTACAGACCGTATCAATGAGGCTCATGAGTCGAGCTTCAATCAACAGCACTTGTTCTTGAATATTTTCCATACGTAAGAAGCTAATGACCGTCTTTACTAATTTTGAGCTAGAGTCGTTCTGTTAAATCAATATATTACAAGCAGCAGTTAAGTTTTAAGAGCTGATCTCAAAGCTTCAAGTTGCCTCTCATAACATACTTGTCTTTTGGCTCTTAAGGTTTTTTTTTTCTGTAAAGGACTTCCAGCAATCCTCCAAACTAGTTTCTTATATTTCTAAACATATTTCTCAGTACTTCAACATGTTTCTTTGATGCACATGCTTTAAAGCTAATCTCCACAGATTATACCAGCCCTTTCCAAATAATTATATCCTGCAGCCTCCTCCACCAGGAGTGCTCTGTGCTCAAGCGAGCCAACACATCCATTAGCGAATTTATCTATCGGATGATTATTCTAACTACGGAGACCAAAAGCCCCAAAATAAGAGAGAATGAGATACTGAAACGATAATTACTGCTAGAACATGCCAAGAGGATACTAACATGGAATTACATAGTGAGGAAACAATTTCAAAAAATGCGATAGATAGTAGTCCAAATTGCCAGTAAGGCATCCTATAGGCAGGGAAAATTCCTCTCACCTAACGAAGAGCAGTTGGTCTCTTCTTCAATGGTGTCCATTGCCGTAAGCACAAATACAAACCGAAGCAAGAACGTCAAGAAGAGGAGAGAATAGAACACCATCCGATAAGATAACCGCCTTGAAGTCACCTTCACCTTGATGAAATCCCTAAAACCTTTTCCAGGGAACACTGTAACATGTCGCATGCTCGGGGATATGTGAAGCTGCATCATTGCATGCAACTGATCACCTCAGAACTCGACTTGCCTCAAAGAGGTGGCTTAGTTTGATTCACTTACAAAGGCCCGTGAATGAAGGCAGGAAGAGAACGCCTTAAGACTGTAATAGGATAGGATGCAAGAGTTCTGGTGCTGAGGTTACCATCCACCACCAAACTTTGCTTAACACTTGGGCTAGCTGTAGCTACTCCCTGTGTTGTTGTAGGGAACAAGAGGTCAGATGGTGGTTAATGTAATTTGGTGAGATGAGATTTCTGATTTGTAGCTTAAAACTGATTTTGGCTTAGTTTTGAAGTATAGAAGCTAATTGAAAAGAAAAAAAAAGTTGATGGAAATAAATTGCTGCGACTTATAAAATAGATGGAAAGCTGCCTTCTAACTTCGAATGTGTTCACTTTGTTAGTCCCTTTGGCTTGAAACAAAGTGTAGGAAAATGACCAAACAGCTTCCTTTGGCAAAAAAGAAAGGGACACCCCAACGAGGAAAGAAGTTAGTTTTCCCTGAGAGACTGGGAGCTCCTGTTTTGGGTGGCCCGTTTTAGACAAGAATCTGTAGGATAGGCGTGGATCTTTGAATCAGAACCCAACTTGAATCCACATATGAATTTGAATTAGATGTATTAGCAATCCTGGAAATTAGTAGGTATCTCAAAGAAACATAACAAATAAGGCCAATTATATACAAAATCATGCATGGCTGATTCCTAGATCAAGTGATACAGTGATGAGCAAGAACTGAATATGAGCTACAGTTCGACAAGCATTGGCCCCTCTTCGGCACTCTTTAAGTCTAAGCAGCAAGCTCAAATGCTGCCCAAAATATTACTTCAGGATTTTCTCAAACGTAAGCTCGAACAAGTGGAAACTAGGAACTGACATCCCTCCGGAAAAAGACCCTGCCACCTTGCTTTACTGAAAGGGGCTCAATTCTGCTCTAGACACCATATATTTCTCCACCAATATAGTAACAAAATTGGCAGCAATAAAGCAAACCATGCACATGAACAGGATGAAGCCAAATAAGATGGACAGTGAAAAAAAAAACGGATACAAGGGAAGACGGTCTGCATACAGTAAGCTCTAGTTCGAAGCCTACAATTCTGACCACCATCCAGATCTTGTACTTGCAAGCTTAAATTCTATTCACATATTTGAGAAAAGCACACGGTGTCAAAACAATAATCACGTATTTAGCCAGGGTGGGTACGAGACTATGAGATGAGGCACCACGGGCAAAACTCTTAACAGACTGAAGTGATAAAACAAGATTTGCCCATGCCATTCCAGACACAGCTTCAGAGAAAATAATCCAGATTGCAAAAGGAAACCCTTGTGATTTTTCAGAAGAATAACTCATGGTCTGGTTCAGTCAGAATCGGAATTACACAGACACCACCAGTATTTTCCTTGAAAAGGAGGGCAATGAACAACGGCACATAGCCTCATTGCCCAGGTAGATTGTGATATAAATACAAATTAAAAGCTGCTGATCCTAGCGGCACAAGAATGGGAACTTCTGCACAATCCGGAGAAGAACAGATGGTATCTAACCAGAAGCATGAGCACAGCATGAAGCTTTGGCACCCAAAACTCAGCACGAGGGGAGGAAAGAACAGCATATGGCCTCTCTTCTGCACAAAACCAAGAACTACAATTAGCAAATTTGACTAGGAAGATCATACTAAAAGAGACATTAACAAAGAAGATGCATTGAGGCAAAGTCTAGGAGACTCAATTTCTTCAGAAAAAATGGTGAAATCAAACGAGGAGGCTATCGATTGTGGACTGCAAGAAGCGACCTGTGAAGGGGGAAGAAACAAAGCTGATACACTTGATAGTGATAAACATGAAGAAAAGACCTGACTGGATTTTATAAGTAAACCATCTAAAATTAGTTGAGTTCCTATAGATTATCCTCATCTAAACTCCAAACTGCTCCAACTTTGCGAAACTGAAGTTGAATGCAATGACGTTGCTCATGCAGTACTCAGTGTACTTAAAACTCTTAACATTCGGAAGGAAAAAAAGTCCAGAGGTTAGGTCAAACTGGCAACCAACAATATGTCCTAGACTCCTAAATACCAATTAATGACTGCAAATCAGTAACAAGTTTAGAAACCAGGTTTAAAGCAGAGGAAGAAACAAGAATAGAAAGCAAAAGTTAAAGTAAGCACTACCAAATGCAAAAATAATGATGCTAATACAAAAAAGAACTTCAAATTCTTTAACATAATGTGGTCAATTTTTATTTTTGTTTTTTAATAACAAAGAGGTATGAACCTTTCAACGTTATTATTATTTTTAAATAACAAATAGTGGGAGTGTAAGAAATATACGCAAAAGTTGTAATCTGTAACTAGAGAAGTCGGGCACAGATTTTAAGAACTTAATTCATGAGAAAATTTACAATAAGAAGATTATTACCATTCTCCAAACTTTTTAGTCAAACAAATGATGATTCTTTGATTGAACAAACAGAAACTAACTTTCAGAAAACGAGGATGTCTGCAAGAATCACTTACTTCCAACCGTAACCCGGGCATCTGGTAAAATATCTAGATTGCCCATAAACTTCCAGTTGTCTCGGAAGTTGTCTTACAAACAGTGAGTACCCATTCCCAGAGAAACAGAAACGAAGCTGCAGACAAGTATTTGGAAAAAAAAATAAGGATCAAGTCTAAACGGTTAGATGACCCCTTTATTGGATGGTAACAATAATGACAGTATAATTCTGGCAATGAGTTAATAATCGATAAAAAAAATGTTTAGTAAGGAGGAATTTTGTTTCAGCTCGAAATTTGGAGTGATGAAGAGTTGAGACAGCATAGCTTAATGGATACATTCTTAGACCTTTATTCATCTGAAAAACTTAGATCTAACTCAACCAATCAATTTACAGAAGAATTCAGCTTACTGCAGATGTCACAGCTGGATAAACTGGCAGTCTGAATACTGGAAATCATGAAAGATAAGTCGATGAACCATCATTCTTGTACATACTTATTTTCCCAATTATGATTCAAAGTTCTACAGCAGTACTTCCCAATCAAGGAATGTGAGCTTAATTTGAGGTGATTCCAAAATGGTTATAGCGCGCATGCACGTGAAAACGGACATGAGATGCCAACTAACAGACACGACCATCAGACGCTCTGAAAGGTACAATAAGTATTACCTTATAAGGATCACCATTCCCCAATAAGTGCTAATCTGCTCGTAGAAATTTATCTTGCCATCAACTTAATTTGCTCAAACTTTTTACCTACATCAAGATTTTCAACAAAGTCAGAAACATTACTCCAGGACCAGGAGTTCTTGAGGACAGGTTTTATTTGGAAAATGATATAGTGAATATCACCAGTATCTTCTATTATGCAAACAGCAAATTTAGTCATCCAACATACACTTATATTTTTCAGCAGAATCATAGGTTTAATTACTAAACTTTATTGTCTAGAAAGATCTTTAAAAAGAGGAAGAACTACTGCTGGGAGAGGGAATCTGTTGTTATTAAAATCCTTCTAAAAATAGATAAAAAGATAATAAGCCCTGCCAAGATAAGTATAGCACATTGACCAAAAAAGGTAAGTCTAGCTACAAAAGTAGCAATATGTGACAGCCACCATTAACATAAGCGAGTCCTCCTGAAGTAAACGACACAAGACAAACCTGTAACATGTAGAGGAACCTTATCCATTCACCAACTCTGTTCAATGCCATAAGCAGAATCAAGAACAAGCAACAATGAACCAAAAGGGACTTCCTACTTTACAAATGAACAATAGTATATATATCCTCACATAGTAGCAGTTGATACTGAAGCAGATTCTTCAGTCTTAGCGTTATTTACAGTTACAGTCAATTATTGAAAACTTAATGAAGAAACTTTTATTTACAAAGGTATGCAAGGAATGGAATCTATCCCCAATGTAATATCTTCACAGATGAACCCTCTCTTTGCTTTACATTTCACCACTCCGATACATACACAAACAGAAGTTAGAAGGCCTTTTGAGAGAATGAAAGAATAGCTGCTGCACACCTGAGGGAGATCTAACCGAACCATAAAACTTCGACAATTCATGCAATCTGTCAAATAACAGAAGATAAAACAAGGGTTGAGACCAAAATAAGGTGAGGGAAGATTACAATATGATCATAAAACAAATAATACATAAATAAATGTTGGGATAACCAAATATGGAAAATTTGATGGATTCGTTTTCCGTCTATAACTTGCTGATCAGCGGCCCATATAGGGCTAACTTCTAGCAAGAAAACATCATTATATCACCTAATCTCACCACAACAAGAAATAAAGTTCACATAAATACTTTGAGAAAGTTGGTAATGTTACTGCATTGAGAAACCAATGTGACTCTTCAAGTATAACCGTCCTTCCTTTTCCATTCCAAATAGTATTTTTATGTCATTGTGTTCTCAAACTTTTCCCTGGTTTACTGGTTGAACAAAAATGATACCATCCATAAATCTCAAAGATATAGCCTTTATGATAGAAGTATCTTGAATACTTCAATCTGTGTATATAACTAAAAGTGAAGAAACATGGAATTAAAAAACATAATGTTGACATTATAAACTACAATAAAGGGTTGTAATTTAGATGAAAATCAGAGAAAGAATCTCAACATGCAATTCCCCCAACACAAAATACATTTAAAAAGAAGTACAACAAAGACGAATTAAAGCACGTCTTAAATATAGCATTTAGAGAATGCACATGAAATTGAAGGTTTCACCTTAATCGATGTCATTGTCATGATCCACAAAGTGGTTTTCAGTTTTCAGACTTTCTTTACTATTTACATGCTCGAGGTGGGGCTCCATCGTCAGGCCCTCTCTACTATATACAAACTCGAGTGCACTCGTCATGCTGCAGCTGTCCTTGCTGTTATTTACAACATCCTCAGTTACTGATGTATGGAAACTACCCCTACAATGCTCATTAATGCTGTTGGGATGCTCTCCTGATGCAGAACTTTCCAAAATGTGCTCAAGGGAACTACAACTGCTTCTGCGTGAAAGCCTTCCATCCTCAGAAATTCCAGATTTCTGGCGCATTAGCAACCCATTTCTGCCATAATAAAAAAGATTTGTCCAAAAGAGAAGAAAAAAATGAGGTAGTAGATGAAGGCAGATGCAGGATTACTAAGCAACTAAACATTTGGGTGGGACAAAGAAATTGTAAGGTTTTTCAAAAAAAATAAAATGCATAAATTATGTATCTTTTTTAATGAAGTATACTGAAATAATCAGCCATACACAAAATGTGCTTAATATTAAACGAATAAATGTGACAAAAAACTCGCACACATGCACTTCAAAGCATGCGCAAAGCTATACATGTAACGCCACTAAAAGGTATCCACAATGTGCTTTAACTTCACCATTGCAAAATATTTCAATTCAAATACTCCACTACGGTATGCTAAAACCATTGTTTTTTCCTCTCCTTCCAATGTAAGGCAGTTCAGATGTTGTATGAGAAAGGGAATCAAGCGTTAATTTGGAATAAAAGACATCTCC